GTGATAAAGTTATTGTGATTAATTCGACGGACTGAATTATATCGTCTAAGTTTTATTTCCAGCCCTCCGGCTAACAATACCAGCCCACCTTTTCTATTGCTGCGTAATTCGAATTTTTTGATGATCGGCGTTACAAGTATCTGAAATATCAGTAATCCACAGCTTACGACCACATAGGTGACTCCAGCGAAATTGTTTCGAATTATGAAATAAGTAACTAGAAAAGAAGTTATTAATATGTAATTGCGTAATGTCAATAAAGTTGATTAACCTTCAATGACGATTAGTAATAAAATCAGGTGAAATAAAAAATAACGACAACGTTATTGAAAAGAAAAATTAACGCGAGCTCATCTAAAGCATATGCAAAGAATTGGACATAATATATTAGAACGCAATATCCGGATATAAATGTAATCTAAATTAACTTGGTCATCAAACATGTATATCAGAATATTTATCCTCCATCCATTTTTTCGCCTTTTACAAATACAATTTATCATCGAAATACAAGTGTACAACAGTTTCATCTTCCATCTTCCAAATTCCACCATCCAAATAAATTATAATGAAAAAAAAATCCATTATTTGTTTATCCTCCAATTTTTAATCGTTTCACGATCAGTTATTTCAAAAACATGATTTTTCTCGAAATTAAGTTCAGACGCATATGTGAAATATCGATAGCAATCATCCAAAGAATAAAAAGACAATCCTGATTTTCTTCTTTTGGCAAAAGGTCCTATAGAAATGTGATATTTTACTACAACTCGTATGATTTCAAACAACAATATTTTCATACCTGAGGTCCAAAACCATATTTCAACCTTCCAATTTCGATTCAGAGTTTCTAATACTATGAGATAATAATCATCATCACCGGTTATTAAGACAAATACACCAGGGTCCTTGGACATGATTACTTTCATTTAATTGATGCCTGCTTTTTCGATTTTACCTATAGTGAATCTTCCTTCAATAAAAAAGTTGGAGTTGTCCACAAAAACGAACACAAGTCCGGTGGGTGAATTTGATATAAGTTGTATTGTAGACAGATCTGATCTTTTGGTATACTCGAAGGCAGTTGTGGTACTTGCCCTGTTCTACGGTAACGGGAATGTGTTTTTTGGGCGTGTTTGGTGATAAATAGCAGGAAAGAAAAAAAGCACAAGGTTAAGTAAGTATATTGCATTATATGATTATATAGCATACAGGCAAATCATAGGAATGAGTAATAAATACTATGAAATAAACGTTCGTTGAATAAAGCGAGGCATACAAACGTTAATCTATTTTATGATAAAACTTACTTTGATTTTTTAATTCCTCGATAAACTCTGCAATGTTCGTGTTCGTTCTTCTTCTTAAACCATATCGAATAAGACTATCTTCGGTATGCCTAAGGAATGCTTTACCATTGATGCCATTCTCCTCGAATTTCCTAATTTCCGTATAATTAAGAGAAAAATAATCTTTTCTGGACTCTAAATAAGCTTTAACATCCCTTACACTCCAACTTTGAACTTTTTCGAATAACAGAATATTTGCAGAAGTGAACATGTTATTATTTTATATTGCAGGACAGTTTCAATTAACGAGATCTTTTTTGATCTTGGATATTAATGATCAGTTACATAACGACGAATATGTGGTCAGAGTCATTTGCAAATGACCTGAATTCTAAATGACACACGACATGCAGGATCGCTTCGAAAGACATGTGTTAACTCCTATTTGCGTAAGAGAGGTAATTAAATGTAGTTTTGATTTTATTATATGTAATTCTGATATAACGAAAATAGCATGTAAATTGATTTTAGCGAAATAAAATAATAAAGTTTTTATTGAATTAACTAAAGATAATAGTTTTATTATGTAAAATGAAAAAGAATACAATAAATGCACTATTACTGCCTTTTCCAGCGCTCTGTAATAGGCCCAAAGAGAAAAGAACTATATAATTACAAAGTTGTTCAAATTCTGTCGCAAACTAAGAGCGTATCTTATACAAAATTCCTTCTTATGGCTTTGCTTCGGCATCCTTTAGAATTATCAGGAAACTTGCGGCTTGGATGACGGAATTCCAATTAATAGATCCCTGTTGTCAAAGTGGTCATTTTTGACAATATTTTTATCTTGCCAAGACATGCGTATTGTCCCAAAAGTCAATTCCACCGCCAGAATTGAATTATGGCGCAGTCAAATCCGTGACACATGGTTTAAGCTTTTTTTCATTTTCATTTTTTTTTATTTTTATTTAATTTCCTTGATACAAATAAAATGATAGTTGAAGAATTTCCTACGGTGACAACTTTGGTTGTGGATAGTATTTGACATTCCCGGACGTACTGAGCCATTAAAGATAACCAATCAGTAATTTTCGATTTTTTTGGTAGTAAATTAAACTTGGAAAATTTTGAGTTGCAAATAGATAAAATAAATTTATCATGTAATATTTTAGCCAAACCATACTAAATTAACCGATTATTTGGTATTTAAACTTTCAAACTTTTGAAATACTTTTTTACATACGCAAGGATCAAATGAAAATTATTTTTTTATACTTTAGCTTTTAAGCAATAATTATATAATTTAAATTTTATGTAAACTTTTAACTAATCGATAATAAGAATAATTTCTTTATAAATGTACTGAAAAATTAAATAATTTATGGGACTTTAAGTATAGGAAATACGGTTTAAATAATATGATTTTAAAAGTTTACGGAAACTGGAACAAATTAAAGTAGTATCCTATCACGTACAAATTTGAACTATGGCCTGCATCAAACATTTTGTCCGCGGCGATGGTCTAATATTTGGTCGTGATAATTACAATTAAATTTAAATACTACAAAATTATCCAAAGAAATATTTTTTTTAAAAAAAAAAAAATGGATGAAAATGATAAACCATTTGCAGAGAAATTATAGTGTAAAGAATGTGACCCTTGGCAAATAATCGAAGGATGGACTAATGGAATTTCTGGTATTTATAAATTTATTAAAGAAACAATGTATAATGTAAGTAATAAAGGATGTCCTGAATGGGTGCCTTTTGATAGATTCAATATTAAATATTTTATGAAGCAATGGTTAAATGGAACACATAATACAAATGAAAATATAGTGTACATGTGACTCGCACTTTTCACGTGATTTTTAAAAGCTTGATTATTCCAAATAAAGTTGGTCCCGTTATTCACTAGTTTCGTACAACTGGTTAGGCAATTTAAAAGAAACGTGGCAGAAGGATTTGCTCGCGACATTCATGGAACCTTTCAGGTAAGGAGAAAAAGAGCAGAAAAAAGAGCAGAAAAAAAAAGCTTATACAAATTCAAAAATCATATTTTATTTAGAAAGGATTTGGCCACAAAGGGAAATATTCCTGCACAAATTCAGTGATATTGATTATTACGATCAGGGACGCCTGGTGTTTTCTCTGGACCGACCTATGCCTACCAAACAAATTTAGAGACGCAGATAGATAGATTATTTAAAAAAAAGTCTGGAGCGCTTAGCAAAAAGTCTCATTATGATACAGTCAGATTCAAAGCTGCGTCCATCAGCAATGAATCTCACTTATTCAGATCAAATATCAAAACGGAAAGGAAATGTTGTGTAATTCATGATGGGTGTGTCGATTCATTGTCATTATCTAGTGAGATACCAGCCAGCAACGATGAGGGTAGAGAACATACAGATTTTAAAATGGACAAGGAATGCGAAGGATGCCCTAACTGAAGCATAATCGAAAGGATGTTGGCAATAATCTGAAAACGTTAAAATGTATTAGCTTAATCGTCGGCGCTCTATACGATCAGATACGTTTTTTATTTAAAGTTTTCGCTACAATGAAGGCATTACGAAAACCTTCATTTTTAGGCAATATTTTATCGGGCCTCATTGTCCAGAAGGCATTTTGTCCATTAAATAAATTGTTATATAGGCCGAAGGATATAAATGACCAGTGGTCAAAGAAGAGAAAAATTAGTCAAATTGATTTATAAAATCTATATTTTCCTAATGATATTTTCTGAACGAACAAAAATGTCTTTAATAATATTTAATTAATTGCAATGTCACTTTTGGTTTAGCATAGAAAAATAAAGGCCGGTATCATGAGTTTTTTAAAAAATTCGGGCCCTGTAAGTTCTTGCTACTTCGATCGTTTTTAGTTCAGTTATTTTAGGTCGCAGCGATCGAATATTTTTTTAACTATTAGAATTTTTTACCTTTATTTTATTTTTAGATAGGTAAATTATTTTATTTAATTACTTCGTTGGGCGATTTCAAGCGCCATTGGTAAGTTTATTTTAATTTTATCTTTACATCAAATTATTTTTTCCCTTATTAAAATAATTTCTTTCGGATTGAATCATTTCAATGTTTTTATTTTTATTATTTTCGATCGCTTCAGGATCATCTTTAGATCGGTAAGATTACGAATATATCAGATGAATACGTTAAATTTGTTGGTATTTTTTAAGTTAAGGGTTTAATCGCTTCGGCGCTCCGTTCGAACGATTTCGATTTACCATTTCCTTTCTCAGCTGCTTCTATAGGTATGATATGTAAAAGTTTTTTTGAATTATTTCATTTAATTATTTTCTATGATTTATTTTTTTTATTTAAACATTTTTTTAGTTTGTTTGATTTAATATTTTCTTCATCTTTTTTTAAAGGCGGCTTGGATCGCAGCAGGCCAGTTGTAGGTTATTTACTAATTTTTAAATGACCTTTGTAAGACTTTAAATACATAATAAAAATGAAGTTATTTGATGTTATATGGGGTCATTTCAAGGTCATTGCAGCAGGTCGCCGCAAATCTCATAGCTTTTTTAGCTTCATATTTCAGGTATTCTTTCTTCGGAAGTAAATGCGGTATTATTATTTTTATTATTGCGTTCCATTTTTGGTTTTTATTTATTACTTTCTTTTAAATTCTTCTTTTTGATTGATGTGAAACATTGCGATTGAGCCTTTTTGATTTGATTATTTTTTTTTGTCTTAGGATTTTGGAAGTATTGGTAAGGCATTTTTGATTTTTAAATTTATATTTTTTGCCCAAATATCTAGTCTAACATATAATTTGAATAAATTATGACAGTGGGATATTCTCAAAAATTTAATGGCAATTACGGTAACCATGTTACGTCAATTGGATCAAAAGTATAATATTTTACCTAATCATCAGGTGTATAGTCTAAATATTGTGAAATTTTTAAAGGCAAGCCATGAAAGTTAAAATAGGTTATAGAGATTTCATGAGCCAAAAACTATGATAAGATAATGTAATGAACCAATCCAATAGGTAATTTTATAAATTTTCTTATGAAAAAAGATTAATTTAAACCAGAATATCAAAACCTTCAATAATTGATGTAAATTATATAATCAATATTATTTTATTTAATAGTAAATGAATCATGGATATACATATTACCTTACGACATAATTACAATGAGCTCCAAATCAACTAATTTAGAATCTAGAAAATTTATTAATAATGAAATTAGTAACCATCCATAATACCGCAAATAAAAAAATTTAGATAATACCTTCATTATTTTCATCCTTTTCAAGATATGAAGTAATAAGAGACGAATTCATAGGTTTTGGCAAATTTTTAAATGCAAGTGCTCTACTTGTATATACAGCATCAGGATTTGTTTTCCGTGAAATTGAAATATTTGGTATCTCTTTATCAGCTTTTTCATATGCTTCTTTTATTTCTTTTCCATAGTATCCATATTTTTTAGTATCTTTATAAATTTTGAAAGAATAAAACCAAAAACATAATATATCATGCAATTCATCGCCTGTTGGTCTTTGATTTGGATTTGCATCCATACACCTATAAGCTAATTTCTTATAAAATCCAGGAGTTCCTTTTCCAAAATCTGGACGAAGTCCATTACAAACATCTAATGCTAAATATACGTCATGCTTTCTATTATAAAATGGAGGGTTTCCAGATGAATATTCAGCCATAATTACACCAAAACTGTAGATATCAGAAGCTAAAGTATATGGTTCTCTATTCAAGACTTCTGGGGCGATATATGGTAATACTCCATATATTTGATCATCTGATTTTTGCTTATCTGCTGGTCCTGTTAATCCAGAATCTGAAATAAAAGCATCTTGCGAGATATTTCCACTATGAAAATTCTTATGACAATATCCTGACTTATGTAAACAATTAAGATCATGAATAATAAAAAATAATTTTTTCATTTTTTCTTCCCATAAAATATTGTTAAAATTATTTGAAAGACAACTTCTCAGATTTCCATTAGATAAAAATTGCACAATCATAATAAATTCTTTGGTTTCTGGATCCTTGGTTATTCCATAAAACACTAATGACCCAGCATCGTTTTTGCATAATTCAAAATGTGCTTTAAGCTAGTTTTTTTCAATAAAAATTTTAAAAAGATTAAAAACATTTATTTAATATATCTCAAATGTAAATTTAAAATACCTCATTAAAATATTTGGATGACATATTTTGTGATCCATTTAACTTTTTCAAAGCAACCGTCATAGGCTCAGAATCATATTTTTTCCAATTTCCATTTCCATCATCTTCCTTTTCAAAATATGATTTACCATCGATCCATGTTGCAGAATAAACTTTGGCAAATCCTCCTTCACCAATTTCTTTAATATCTATGAATCTATCAAAAGGCACCCATTCAAGAAATTTTGGAATTCCTTCATAATTATCATCTGCCTTATACATTGTATCTTTGATGAATTTATCAATATCAGAATTTCCACTAGTCCATCCTTCAATTATACACCAAGGATCACATTCTTTACACCATAATTTCTCTGTAAATG